AATTTTTTCCTTTAAAAAAGATTATCTGACAGGCAGGGCTCAGTGGCCCACGCCTGTATTCCCAGCACTTTGGGAGGCCAAGGCAGGTGGATCACCTGAGGTCAGGAGTTTGAGACCAGCCTGGCCAACATGGTGAAACCCCGTCTCTACTAAAAATACAAAAATCAGTTTGGCATGGTGGCGCAGGCCTGTAATCTCAGCTACTCAGGAGGCTGAGGCAGGAGAGTCACTTGAATCTGGGAGGCAGAGGCTGCAGTGAGCTGACATTGTACCACTGTACTCCAGCCTGGCCGACAGAATGAGACCCTGTATCAAAAATAGAATAAAAAAAAATTACATGACAGAAGACTGCCAATCAACAACTTTTATTTCCTAGATTGGTGGCAAGAATGCAATCATGGCAGAGGAGGCCTGATTGATGGATGGTTCATTCAAAGTGGTAGGAGCTACTTATTGGGTACTATGTTTATCACCTAAGTGACAAAATAATATATGTATCAAACTCTTGCGACACACAATTTACCTGTATAACAAATCTGCACGTGTTCCCCAAGCTGAAAATAGAAGTTAAAAAACATCTGCAATAAACTAAGTGGGAGGAACTATTTTCATGAGAGGTTTTCTGAGTCACTGGGTATTTGAAAAGAAGCTTTGGTGAGAGGTAACAAAAAATGTGGCTGAATTCATGAGAGAACAATTATCCATTATCTCATATAGAGCATAACTTCTGTACCTTAAAAAAAAATTGGGTTTTTTCCCCCCGCTTTTGCATGTAGGGAATGGGCTTGAAATGGAAAGAAGGCCAGGGCAGCACATACAAAGTCAAAGGCAATAAAGGTTGATCTGCGTTAAGAAAAATGAAAAATGCCCAGCACTATATTTAGAAAAATTGAGACTCGAAGTCATCTATGCAGCCAACAGACATATAAAAACAATGCTCACCATCACTGCTCCTCAGAGAAATGCAAATCAAAACCACAATGAGATACCATCTCACGCCAGTTAGAATGACGATCATTAAAAAGTCAGGAAACAACAGATACTGGAGAGGATGTGGAGAAATGGGAACACTTTTACACTGTTGGTGGGAGTGTAAATTAGTTCAACCATTGCAGAAGGTGGAAGATAGTGTGGCAATTCCTCAAAGATCTAGAACTAGAAATATCGTTTGACCCAGTGATCCCATTACTGGGTATGTACTCAATGGATAATAAATCATGCTACTATAAAGACACATGCACACGTATGTTTATTGTGGCACTATTCACAATAGCAAAGACTTGGAACCAACCCAAATGCTCATCAATGATAGACTGGATTAAGAAAATGTGGCACATATACACCATGGAATACTATGCAGCCGTAAAAAGGGATGAGTTCATGTCCTTTCTAGGGACATGGAAGAAGCTGGAAACCATCATTCTAAGCAAACTATCACAAGGACAGAAAACCAAACACCACGTATTCTCACTCATAGGTGGGAACTGAACAATGAGAACACATGGACACAGGACAAGGAACATCACACACCAGGGCCTGTTGGAGTTGGGGGACTAGGAGAGGGATAGCACTAGGAGAAACACCTAATGTAAATGAACAGTTGATAGGTGCAGCAAACCAACATGGCACATGTATACCTATGTAACAAAACTGCACATTGTGCACATGTACCCTAGAACTTAAAGTATAAATTAAAAAAAGAAAAATTGAGTCTCGGTGCAAAGCTAATAACCAGTGATGGAACGAATAGATGCTCACGAAGTGGCCAAAGTTCGCATTTTAGGGTGAGAGAGTCAAATGATAAGAGATATCATGACACGTACAAATTCACTGGTATTTCCAACTCAACAATGGTATAAGAAATGCCTGTGTTTTTGTTGTTGTTGTTGTTGTTTGTTTGTGTCTTTGTTTTTTGAGATGAAGTCTCGCCCTGGTCACCCAGGCTGGAGTGCAATGGCCCAAACTCAGCTCACTGCAACCTCTGCCTCTCGGGTTCAAGTGATTCTCCTGCCTCAGCCTCTTGAGTAACTGTGATTACAGGCGCCTGCCACCATGCCTGGCTAATTTTTTTGTATGTTTAGTAGAGATGGGGTTTTACCATGTTGGCCAGGCTGGTCTCAATCTCCCGATCTCAGGCGATCCGCCCACCTTGGCCTCCCAAAGTGCTGGGATTATAGGCGTGAGCCACCGTGCCCAGCCGCCTGTTTGGTTTTATAACAGAAATTTAGACCAATCAGTTGGGAAAGAAAGGGAAATACTTATCAAATTAATTTTTCTGGAAAACATATATACATTAAAAATAAAATAAATATGGCCAAAGTTGAATTAACATTAAGGCTATAAACTCAGAATTTCTATTAGTAACAGAGCAAGAATGAGATTCTCATTCTGTGTCTCCTTGTGAGCAAAAAAGTGGCTGGTTTCCTTTTTCTCATTTTAATTTGCTTGGCAATCTGGTAAACTTGTTTTATGTTTGTAAATTAGATCTAATCTAAATGTATATGTGAGATTAGAATTCAGCAGGCATCAAATCTTTGCAGGTTATTTATACATATAGGGCTTGCTATGTACTGTAGAAACTTGTTGCTTAAACTTTCTTTTTAAAATTAAGTTTCTCTTTACATACCGGTAGGAAAAAAAATCATCCCAGGAAGTGTCTGAACAGCTTGAGACTTATTGGTCTGGAACTATTTTCCTATGATCTAAGCACTTGACTTAGAGTTTAAGTATCTCAGTGGGTTCAGAGCTAAAACTATTTTTTTAAATATCTGATTTTTTAGTCCCCATTTCTTTTTAAGCTGGTCATATAATAAGGATTTTGAGGATCTATTTGTTTTGCAAATACAATGATTTTTCTAAGTGACACTCTAAATTTACATTGGCATTTCAACCAACAGCCTAGTAAATCTACAAGCTCTAAGTAAAAAGCAATGCCGTAACTTTGTAGTGCTAGTGAAAGTCTTATTTCTTTAAGTTACAGGTAAAAGATATTGACTTCTGCCTAGAAAGTAATTATTTTAAAGAAAAATACGTGAAATAAGTGCAAGTTAAACAGTTTGTTTAAGACTCTTAATATAAGAATTCAAACTCTCATCTTTGCCTCACAGAGTGGAATTGTCATAAATGAAAATATCTTTTTATTCTACTTAGAAGCATCTTTTTAAAGTGCATATGATGAGCAAAGTGTGTAAAGATATAAATATATATTTAAAGTGTAATGGTGTACAACAATCACTATAATAGTAAGTAAAGCAAGGCCATAAAAATGGAGAACACATTCTTCAACACATTGAGGAAGTTATTTTCAAAGCCTGGCCCATTAGGTTGGAACCAGAAGTTTCCAGATATATGCCCACATTTGCATGAAAATAAATATTTTACATTCCAGTGACGGCTTGGTACATGCTTGAGAATGGATGGTTGTACTAGCTCTGAAAGAAACAGGAAAAAAAATGACCTTCTAAATTACATGAAGTCAAGTAGCTTGGAGAATAGAAAGCAGATCTCTACTGAGGAGACATCTAGTTAAATCTGTGTTCTCACCAGAGATCTATTAATCCAGGGCCCCGCTGGAATACTGGAGCAAATTCATGCAGCTGGGCTGAAGTCAGATTTTTGCCAACTCTGTCCTCTCTTACGATATGCTGTCATTGTTGGAATCATGGCATGTCTAGATTGAAGCTGCGCACAAAGTCTAAAAACTTTTTTGGGCAGAAGTGGCTATATTTCTCTTGTAAGCTGCAAAAGTCTATTTCACTTTTAGAGTTGCTTTTCTACTGTTGCAATAACTACTTTGGAAATTTTTATTACTCGTTAATTAAAATTAAGGTACTAGAGGGAATGAAAACAGTTATTTTGCTTAAGTTGCCTGAACTCAGACTATTGTGCAAGCATTCATTTTCTGTGGTATTTTATTTCATGGAACGATCAGTAGGTGAGCTTGCACAGAGTCAGCAAAATTTTCCTGCAAAGGATCAGATAGCAAATATTTTAGTCTTGGTGGGCCACACGGACTTTGTCACAGGTACTCAACTCTGTCTTGTATGAGAAAGCAGACATAGACCATACATAAACAAATGATTATCTATAGACAATAAAGTTTGAATTTTTTACATGTCACATAATATTCTTTTTATTAACCACATAAAATACAATGATTCTTGGCTTGTAGGCTGTATAAAAACAGATGGCAGGCTGGATTTGGCCCATGGGCTAGAGTTTGCCCATCTTTGAATAGAACACAATCACATAGAGTGATGAAAAATAAGAAAACGTATCTCTTAACATAAACTTTTATGCTTCTTATTAGATATTTAGTTCCATTTGGATTTGTTTTTCCTAATTATCTCCTAAAATGTGTCATAATTCTTAGTTCAAAAGAATCCTAACTCACTGAAACAGTTAGTGTTGAGTTGCAATTCGAAAATTCAAAACTCACTTGAAAGATTCACGTTCTATCTACTAAGTGAACCCATCATATGAAAAGAAAGCCAGTATTATGTTATGTATTTGACATGGAATAAAATACTATTCACGTCCTTTGTTTTAAATATGAAATGAACACATTTACTAAGATTGCCCTGAATTTGGAAGAAACCCTGGTCCTTTAGCCATCAATGAGATGGCATAATTTTACTGAGTTGAATATTTCATTATGTTACCATGGTCTTACTGTTTAAGGTTTTCCATCAAGCCTTCTACACTGTCTCTCATATAAGCAATTATTTGCTGCTCTGCATTTACTTTTGATATTCTTTCTGTATTAGTTCTGATTCCTGAGACACTATTAGAAGTATTAGAAATTATAGCCCTTGCTGAAAACAAAGAGAGGAGATGGTGTTAAGCCAGCAAAGTCAGGAAGCTGTTTCTATATGACGTTTGCTGAATAAATCAAATGTAAATTCTCAGCAACTGTATTCTTGTTCTAAGTGTTTCTAGTAATAGAACTATTTCCAGCCAAACCCTCGTTAAGAGAGAGAGAGACGGAGAGATCAGTCAAGTAATTTACAAAGTCATCAGCAGTTTTTAATGTTTTTAACATGCCTTGCAAGCCAAAAGCAAGGTGCACCACCACCTATCAAAGCCTAGACAAGCACAGGTTTCCTGTCAGTTTCCCTTTTTCTCAGTTCTTGGCATATGTTACATGCTCAAGAACTATTATATAAACAAACTTGTTTAACAGACTCAGTAATTAGGAGTTAAGATAAGCAACTACATAATTTTCAAAACTCATTAAAAAGTAAAAACATAGGGTGTATAGTTCAAAGAGCAGGAAAGAGTGCCTGCCATTAAAGGTACTAAGGCACAAAACTTCTTTTCTTTCAGAATTTATTTTTTCTCAACTTCTCTGTGCTATTTGTCATGCTCCCACGGAATGGGATACTTACGGAGCGAGTGCAGATTACAACCTCTCAGTGGTCCATACTATTAGTGGCATTAGTGCTGGATTGATACACTGTGTCCCTGTCAAGGGAGGGAAAGTCAATATCCCCTTCCCATGGGCCTGCTACCAGAATCTGCAGCAGATGAGACCCCTGAAGGATTGCAACCCTCACATTTGAGACGCACTCAGCTCCTGGATCAGGGTGCCCACTGAACGTGCCATCCTGGGGAATAGAGTTGGCTGCCTCCAGGCCCCACCTAGATGCCCCAGAGTGCATGTGGCCAACACCATCTTGCCTCATCTCTGTGCCCAGGCCTTGCAGTGGGTGGAGGACAGCTTTGGAATGCTGATTGGATGTCTGGGAATCTGTTCTGGGAAGGTGGGGAGGCTTCAGGGACCTCAAGTCTCTCAGCGTTTTTTTCCATTGTCCATTTGACTACCCTTACAAAAAAAAAAAAAAACACACACAAATTAAAAGATGAAATCATTAAGAATTTCAAAATAGTGACCCTAAGCATCAGGCCTTTGTGAGAATGGGGCCTTCTTGACTGCACTAGTGGCTAACATTTATTGAATTTCTATCAGCAAACTCTTCTAATCAATTCATAGAATACCCAATTCTCACATACGAAAACATATTGTGCAGAGAGGAAACTAAGTCACAAACATAAAGTAATTTTTTCCAAGCTCATGAAATCAGTATGTGATGATGCCAAGATTCCATTAATACTACAGGCAGTCTGACTCCCAGGCTCTTCATTCTAAACCACCTCAACATCTCATATGGTATAATTGCTTTAATACCTGTCTTGCAGGGACATGGATGAAGCTGGAAACCATCATTCCGAGCAAACTATCACAAGGACAGAAAACCAAACACCATGTGTTCTCACTCATAGGTGGGAATTGAACAATAACACTTGGACACAGAGTGGGGAACATCACACAGCGGGGCCTGTCATGGGGTCGGGGGAGAGGGGAGGGATAGCATTAGGAGATATACCTAATGTAAATGACGTGTTAATGGGTGCAGCACACCAACATGGCACATGTGTACATATGTAACAAACCTGCACATTGTGCACATGTACCCTAGAACTTCAAGTATTAAAAAAAAGTGTCTGTGGTTTTATACGTGGACTCTACTTCTCTGGAGATTTTTCTCTTCCCCAGCAATGTCCTTTTCATGACCCATTGAAATCACACTAAAACTTACCTGATATTTGATGGCTTAGAGCATGAGAAAGTGCCCAATAAACTTTAGCTTTTATTATTCTCTTCCAATTCTGCTTCTTGTCTAGGCTTTCTTTCAAATTCATGTGAAGTGTTGTTTGAACTGGCAATGGTTTAATGTGTGCTTTTATCACGTGTATATCCTGAAAGAGGTATATGTACATTTCAATCCCCAAAACAAAGATATTGAGAATGTTCTTAAGATGGCTGACCCTTTAAAAATCGTTCAGATCCTTTAATTCCGTAAGTTATTTATAAGACTGTCTATACATGAGTACATTTATACATCAATGAGTATCTATTTTATATATCAAATAGAATGCAATTCTAGAACCCAAACTCCTCTTGAATATGTAGTTTTTCAACTTTATGAGATAGATACCTAAATAACACCTATCTTGTGTACACAAGAAACCAAGTCCCAAGTAAATTGCCATTTTCTCTTGGCCACAAAGTTACTATGTGGTAATGCCAGGATGCTAATGTGGACAGTCTGACTACAGGGTCCTCACTCTAAAATGGCACAAGATCCCATATGGAAGAGTAGCTTTAAAACCCATAATATTAAACATTTATACAAATGAAAATTAGAACTCCACATAAAATGCTTAAATATTCAAAAGTAAAACTTGGTTCTCCTGAATTTCTTTATTAACATCAGAATACAAGATTAGAATATTATGAAATAATTAAGTCAAGCATAAAATATTTATTGAATACCTACTAAGTTCCAGGCCTGATCCAGATACTTTACACACATCATTGAAGAAAGTAAACAAAGATTTCTATTATTGAGGAGCATATAGTGCAGCAGATAATTAAATTTTCTTTATAGTATCTTCTCTATGTTGGACAAGTTTTAAAGAATTTATTTACAATAACGATGTATTATACAAGTATAAATGTTTTATTTAAATATTTTGACATCCAATGTTGAGGCAAATTAGATTGTATCCCTGTTTTTATCACCATCATAGTATCTTCTAGTGGTGCTTTTGTTACTCCTTTCTTCCATTCCCTCTTTATTCTTTCTTTCTTTCTCTCTTTTTTAAAATCAGCTGCTGACCATACACTTTATTATCAGCTAAGGGATACGTTAAGTGGCTGCTGGCCCAACCACAGCCAGTTTATATCCGTGATAACTTGGCTTAGCTTTCCCTGAAGAAAGGAAGTTGTATCCTAGGGAAAGCAGACTGAAAATCATTTTTTTTGCATTACCAGCCATTCCTAGAAGTTCTATGATTAATATAAATTTCACTTCTAAAATTATTTTATTCACCCAGTCACTTTGAAAGTTATATACCATGCAAAAAATAAGAATGCTCTCTCTTTACTTACATTTTAAGTACCCTTACAAAATCCTCTAAATTAAAAATCATATTTAACATTATAGACCAAAGTTAATGTTTAAAGAAGTTGCGTTGTTCATTTTTGCTTCGTTTTGTGTTGTGGTATGGGGGAACATATTATTTTAGAAGGACTCAGTTAACCCTTAATAGTTTCTACAAAATGGAAGATTATCAATGCAAAAGAAAACAACATTTGAATTTCAAGAAACATTTCTAAACAGTCTATACAAGAAAGCCGTGGGCATCAATATGAAGACATTTTAGATTTTTTTAGAATTGGTCAACTTTTTACATGTCACACAATTTGAGATAATGGGACAAAGATGTCAAAGAGGTCAGTGTGTCATATTCAGAGGAGAACCTGCTTTGAAATCTGACAGATTAGGTTTGAATTTTGACTCTGAAACTTTCCAGCAGGGTGGTTTGAGGCTTTTGAAATAAACATTCTGAGCCTTCATTTCATTATAATAGAAGGATCATGATATCCATGTACACAAAGCACTTGGCACATAGAAGTATGTACTCTATGGTAGATATTAGTATTCATCATGAGAGAGCTAGATTTAAGAAAAATAAATATCCTATAAAGTCACCGAAATGTTCATTCCAAGAACATGGGTTTTGTGTAATTAAGGAATTTGACAGGGAGGAATACACAGAGATAACAGACTGAATCAAATCGTACCAAGATCTCTGATTACATGTCAAGAAGTAAAACAAAGTAGTTGTCTTTTAAAAACCAGTTTTGGATCAGGTACTATTAGGGACTTTTACATATGTTCTTCCAGGTATTGCTCAAAATAAAATTGAATCTCACAGCGATTGACTGAATAGAGCCAGACGAGAGCACGTGGCAATCCCACTTGCCTGCGTGTGCACGTTGATGTGCCGCTACTGACGCTGTGGAAGAGTTAAAGGGGAGCAAAAAGTTTTATTCTGGGGAAAAAAATGCTACTTACTAGAGTACAGTCTTAACTGATCAAGAAAAATGTATATTTTGTCACAATTTCCTTTATGTTTCCACTGGGACAAAGCTAGTCTAATATATGAGACTCTTGAATGGCCCTTATCTTTGATATAAGAGGAGAGTATTTGCAAAATGTAATTTCCTTGCAGCCCACTTCATTATATATACCTATTTTCATAACAAAGCCTGTGAAGAAAAAAAAATGATGTTAAAATCAATGCATTCCTTGAATAATTGAGATTTTTAAAATGGATCTGTACAAAAAGCTATCCTTCAGAACAACGGCTCTCAAGTACTGTTTGCATTAATTTACACCCATGTTCCTTTGGAATTTTTTTCACGTACTCTTCATTTTTTTAATCATTCAAAATATTTCAAAGCTACTTCTCTGTTTTTAAGCATTCTACTTTAATTTGAAAATGTAAAAAATGTAATAAAATTGAATGATTAAATTGCACTTCTGTTAAGTAGGATTATTTGCTTATATCTTAGATCAGAATTTTATTAGGTAATTGTTTTTCATCAGTATGTTCTGCCTACATCCTAGGCGTTAGGAAAATTGGAAAAGGATTGCCAGATTTTCTTTGTACAGGCATACTCCTTACATTTCTTAAATTGTGCTTGACAATTTGAAGTGATGACAAAATTATACCTTTGGTTGTATATTTTTCTTATCATACTAATTTGAATCTAATAGAGGCTATATAGAATTTTTTTCTTTTGTCCTGCATTATAATTTCTATAATTCTTTACAATATTGAAATTCTGTAGTTCAACTATTGCTTCCTAAAACACAACATATGCTCAGATCATACAAGATTGTTAATAAAAACATACATATTAGCTTTATTATTGTTCTGAACTTATGTTCCTTTTGGGATGTAAAAGATAAGATGTGAAACTTATCTTGTAAAATCAAGTGATCTTTGATTTTGCTATGTTATCTACCCATGTGTTCTGGACCTCAGTGGGGACCAGGAAGCTAAGGACTTAACATGTTTCTATGACAATTTTAGGAAGAAAAAATAATATCATTTTACATCTCTACCTTCTCTTGGTCAGAAAACAGACCTTGAGAATTACTGTAGATAGTCTTATGCCATAAAGATAAATGAAATTTTGAGGAATATATAACATGATTGCTAAGCAGTTGTGTGCATATATGCATATGTGTGTGTATATATATGTATCCAATTTTGCACATTTAGTAATAGAATAACACTTTTAAAATGAGATCTGCCCTCAGTAATAAACTTTCTCATTTGTTAACAAATATTTTTAAGAATTCTGTAGAGAATTCTTGACTTGAGTCACAATTACCAGAAGAATACTTCTGACAAAGACACTTAAGCAGATATGAGAGAGCGCAAAGGGGAGACAGAGAGATGTTTCAACACTGTCATTTTAAAACTTCAAAAAGCATCTCCACATCAGAAGCGACTTCACAGATCCCGAGTCTCTATATTTCTGAGATATTGTTTGACTTCATTTTTTTTTCTCTCTCCAGGTTCCAGGTTCCATAATCTTTTTAAGGGATATAGGATTTGGGAAGCATAGTATGGAGCGTGAAATTCTCTCTCTCTATATATGGAGAGAATATATATATATATATATTTTAAATTATCCGATTAGTGATTAAGACAGATATTAGAAGAGAAACAACAAAACTTATTTTTCTTTCACCATTCATGGAATTATTGGTAGTTCTATATTAAGAAACAAAATGAAAGCATTCACTTAATATAAGAAGTAGGATAATAGATATATTTTTGATAAAAATGAAGTAAATATTTGTCTCTAAATTCAAACTATCCACAGTACAATCAGTAAGTATTAGAAAACAAGTAAAGACTTGTTTTATGTGCTCTGGATATATGTCAGACATAGAAGAAACAAGTAGAACTGATAACCCCTAACTTTTAAGGTCTATTCCAAACATAAGATGCGGTGTAGTTCCAAAATTATAGTTAAAAAAATAAAAATATACAAATAATAAATCATCCATGGCAATTGTTGGAAACAGAAAAATAGGCAATGTGTCCAAATACATAACTTCTCTAATATTGATATTAAAAAGAATTTATAAATAATAAACAATAGAAGCATGCTGATTGTTTTATTATAATATTTTCAAATTCAAATTAAGATAAAGATAACAAAGCTGTATTCAAGAATAATAGAAGCATTGTAAATATATATTGGACTGAGAAGGATTTTGTATTACAGCAAAAAGCAAAATTGAATGGCATTCTATTTAAAATGCTTTCTTTTTTATATTTAAATGTATTATTTTAGAGAAAATTCATCATTTAATAGGTGGCTAGTAAACTTTCAAACAGTGAAATAATTTGCAATTGAGTATAGTATATCAGCATTTTCATATTTTGCATCATCGTGATTTAATATTTCTGATACTTCAGCAATGCTAGAGCGGCCATTCTTGGTAACCACATCACCACAGAAATGTAATATGTGTGTTCCGTATCGTTTCCTGCATTATGTGTGTGGGTTGTGGTTGTTGTTTAAGTTCCCATGACTATTGAGCGAGGAAGTTGGGTATAATTCCTGGCAGCATAGTAGTTTATCCATTACACTAAAGAGCAGATCGTATTTCAAAATGTTTTTCTGAGATCATTACAGAAACAAATGGCAAGGTTATCAGCCTTAATACCAATTGCCCAGAAAATGTGGGGGAAAAAAGCCACTAAAAATAGCCACAGGAAGCAATAATTTCTATGACAAATTGTTCGGCTGTTTACTTAGTATGCTAAGTAATATATTTTTGATCAAAGATAAACAGTTTAAAAAGTTACATTTGTGTTGTGGG